GTTAGTTAGTTAGTTAGTTAGTTAGTTAGTTAGTTAGTTAGTTAGTTTTACGGGTATTACTCCCCCATGTCCCCTCCGGGGCTCAGTATTACTGTAGATGTGTAAGATACATTCAAATAATTATTTTATTATTATTATTATTATTATTATTTTATGTTTATTATTATTATTATTATTATTATTATTATTATTATTATTATTATTATTGGCCTGCTCAGATTGTATCTAAATGTACAGAAAACTTGATAATATTTTATTCTGATTCCATGTTTGTTGACTTGATGGCTGGAAATGGATCTTTTCATCAGTTTGCAGCGTTGGTCATGTGCAGAGATGCACGGTGAGTTAATTTTTGTACTTTTTCTGCAGATCTTACAGAAATCACGAGGAAAGGAAAAGTGTTCACGGTGTTTTAGTTTAAGGACATCAGTGTGCAAACTGTTTAAACAACCAATATCAAGTCAAACACTGCATATGATAAATGTGCACTACATGTATTTGTTTGTTCCACAAGTGTTTTATTTTGATAAACATCTGGGGTGTTCTGCTTACTGGTTGTGCCGTTGTGATAATTGTGCAAAGTATTTTGTGGTGGAAGCTATTTTCAAATTGTGCTTTAGGGATAAAATGTTTGGCAAAAGCCACATAAAATTAACTACACCTAAAATATTCCAAATACAGTGAACCCTCGCTATAACGCGGTTCACCTTTCACGGTCTCGCTGCTTCACGGATTTGCATCGTGCGTTGTGTTCTGCATTCTGATTGGCTAAACAGTCTCAGTAGTTACAGTTTTTATTTGTAAAAAACGTTTATACAGTACTTTTATTTGTTAAACAAATGCTTGGGCCTGTAAAAAGGTTTTGTTCTTTGGTTTGAATATATTATGGAGTATTTCATTGTATAATAATTGTAAAAAAATAAAGGTTACTACTTCACGGATTTCGCCTATCACGGGATCTTTTTGGAACGTAATCCCCGTGAAAAACGAGGGTTCACTGTACACTGTATAAAACAAAAGTATGCAAAGTGTGCATTTGCAAGGAGGCCCAGGACTATCACACCTACAGGATGCATTAATACCGAGCTGATCTCTTTGCAGTTATAACAGCATCTGTTCTTTTGGGAGTAGGTTTCACAAGATTTTGAAGTATTTCTGTGGGAATTTACACCTGATCCTTCTGTAGAGCATCGACAAGGTCAGGCACTGATGTGGGGTGGGATTGATAGACTCTGAGCGGCTCAGGCAAGGTCTCACTCAAATCATGTCTTTATGATTCTTGCTTTGTGTTGTTGGGACTCAGTCATGTTGGAACAGTAATGGATCTCCTCCAAGTGTTGCCACAAAGTTGGAAACATATATTCCAAACGGTCTTGGACAGTGGGTTCACTTTGCTGCAGAAACACCTGAATTCATCTAACAGGTGTGGTCACGTTTGTCTTTATAATGCATCTTGGCTACAACTGCGGAACATTATAAGTTTCACCGTTTCTCTTTTTATTAAATTGTGACTTTGCTCATTTGTTTTAGAAAATACATTGAAGCCAAGCATCACCCTCCTCTTCCTCCTCTTTGGTAGAGGGAGCCACCTCTTTCCCGTCACCAGTTTAATAAATCTTTTAAACCTCGGTGAGTTGAATGGAGTGGTAACACTTCACATTTACTTTCATCAAACGTCCTCTTCTGTTCTTTGCCTTTCTTAAAACGCCACTCCTCTTCCTCCGGCGTCAGCTCCTGCTCTCAGTCAGCCCATGATGGAAGTGTGTTACGCAACACTCGCACGTGTTCCCGTGCACAACTGGCTCAGACACTTGTACAAAATAGGTTAAATGTTTCCAACTCAGGCATCACCTTCTTGCATCATCTTAGGGCATCTTGATGCATGCTCTAAAACCTAACAAAGTTAGATCATTTGTTAGATCTTAGACATTTTTCCATCTTATATTTTTGCAGCATCTCAAGAATTGAAACTCCTTTCCATTAAATTAACAAATCACAGTATTTAGAACAAACACGTCCATTTTAATTAATGAAGTTGTGTGTGTTTCTGCAACGCTCTCCATTAACTTGACTTGACTGAGTCTTTGGCAGACGGCACATGTTGTATTTTACTGTTCCACATCAAAGCAGGCAGCAGGAGATAACATAGCACATGTAGCTGGTCCTCTTCCAAGCATGAATCCCACTCGTTCACAGCTGTGTGTGTTTGTGAAGGAAAGCTGAGCCTGAAATAAGGTCACTGTTAGAGAAGGCTTGATGTGTCGTGTTCTCATTTTGCCCAACACCTTTTAAACTCCTAACCCTCAGTGTGCATGTGTGTGCATGAGTGTGCATGAGAGTGTGTGTGTGTCCAGACCACTTCTTTTATGACAACTGGTCCTCCGGGGCTGCTGCTGTCCACAGACACTAATGTGACGTGACAGGACAGCCAGTGGCGCTCTGCTCTGAGGGGACCTGCTTTGTGCAGGAGACCCGAGGGTTTGGCCCGTGGTGGACAACAATAGAGAAAAAGACCTATGAAGGACAAAGCTTCTTCTTTTTTTAATTCTTTGAAAGCATCTCAGGCTGTCCTTTCTGGCTTTCTCCCTCCTCCTCCTTTCACACATTTTAAGAAATTGTCAAAAAGAAAGAAAAAAAAAACCCATCATGCTGAGACACTCAAGAGAAGTCCTGATTATCAAACAGCTTAACATGTTTGAGCCTGACAACAAAGCACATTCTGTCTGTTCTT